TTTGTATTCTAGTCCCCTGTCTTCCATAATTGGCCGGGCCGGATGCTTCTGGTGGCTATGTTTGTTGGGGCTGAGTAAGCAAGGTGGCAAAATACCAATATTCCTATAGTCACATAGAGGTGTTTAACCTGTCCTATCTTTTGTACCAAAAAAATAAATTTGTCCTATCTTGACCATCTCCTCATATCCCAACGACGGGATAAAAATGTTTCAGGACAAGACGGGACAGAGTCATCCCAACCCCATCTCGACATATTTTCTTTTTTAAAAAAATTACTTATAAATTAACAATTATTATTATATTATTCAATTCACTTATTAATAATACTATCTCCGGTCCTTAATATAAAATCCTGTTTGACTTTTATTTTGGTCCTAAATATAAGACTTCAATCCACTTTGTCTCTCATATTTACTCAATTTTTTCCAAGATAGTCCTTCTAATAATTATAGTTATAGTCAATACATTTGATTAGCAATGATATTTTAGGAAAGACAACACCTATTTAGGACAAATAACTAACTCAACTTATTTGCTTAATCTCCTCAAATTAGTTAATTGGCTCTTATAATTAGGATCGGAGGTAGTAATTATTTTTTGCATTTTTAGCTATTAAGTTACAATATTATCTCAACAAAATCTTATTTCTCAATAGAATAATTCATAAAGCAATTATATAGTGTTTTTAACAGTATTTTATAATATTGTTTTTGTACCTTTTTTGTATTATATAATTGGGTTTTTTACATAATATTTTTTTTAGTGTTTTTATCTTCAGAAGCCTAATAAAAATAAATATTACAAGATAAAAAAAAGATCCAGACCCAGAAAATTCAATGGTTTGTAATAGAAAAAATTGAACTGGACGGCTTAGTCCTCATGGGATGGGGACGGCCACGGGACAGGGGATGGAAATCTCATCCTGTCCTTGTTTACTGAGACAAGCCTACTTTGGTCTCGTCTCATCCCGTAAACAACTCTATCATTACCAGTAGAGATTTGGATTCAAAAAATCTAATTTTAATATTTTATAAAATTATTAATAAATAGTTAAATTCTTTCACCTCACTTATGTGAATCTCATCTTTCCTTTGCCCCTCCAAATACATACAAAATAATTTTACGAGTTATTATGATCAAAACCCTTCTAGACCGTCCAAATTGAATCTCGATGATCCAGATTTGATCTAACACAAACCTATCATGATGGCATGAGGCCCTTGCACTGATATCAGTTAAGACGGGAAGGCGGAAATGTTAACAGGCATGCCTATATACACAAAAACACTCATTTTAGTCTTGCCATTTTCTCACTTTGACCAATCTCCTCTCTACACATTTTCTAGCATTTTCTCTCTGTAAGTTCTTTCCCATGGCTGGTAGGGTTCGAATCACCTTGACCGAAGTGCCCGGCTCAACTGATCAACAGTTTAAGCTTCTTTTAGGGTGTAAACTAGTCATCGAGGTCATGGACTTCCCTACTCTCCCCCTAGCCACCGTAAACCTCACCAAAGATGATAATGCTGGTGAAAATATGGTGGCTATAAAGGATCCAAATCCAACAGGCTACCAAGTAGCATTAGAAAAATAGGCTAGTCCGTCTGTCACGTGCTCAGGCTTAAACGAGCTAGCCCGTTATGAGCTCGGGCTTAAATGGCTTATAAATAAGTCTCTTCCTTATTGTAAATCAGATCTAACATGCAATATCACAGTACCATTCAGAAAATCCCTCTTTCTCTCATCTCTCTCTTCCGTTTCCTTAGGTCTCTTTTCTCTCACCTCTATGTTCTTATCTTTTTTGCCCTAACCACAATAGTGGTATTAGAGTTGTTAACTCCACGTCGTGTTTTTTAAACTTTGATTTCTTGTCCGTGAATGATCATAATGGATAGTGAGATAGAATCTCCTTAATCTGCATTCATGACTTAATAATATCATAATGCGTGCAACATGCATCTAAAAAGGCCACATCACAGTGTATATATACTAAACTATATATAGATCTTATTTATGAAATAAGTTAAGATTTAATTTAACATTTTATACTATTCAATTAAATTCCATTTTTATTAATGTTGAAAATGAAATTACATATTAGTTGTTCATTTTTTAATTGAGAATGGTTTGAGTTATAAGTTTAATAGAAAAGCAATCTAAATGGTAATATCGTGAGAAATTGTGAAATTAGTTAAAAGGATTTGAAAGTTTTACTTTAAAATAAACAAAAGCATGAATCAAACAAGACAACAAAGTAAATTAAATTAAACTAAATGAAGCGTTACAATGTTTTCCTCAAAATTTTTCATTCCCTTAAACTACAATAAAAATGAGCCATCTTCTTTGACTATTCATTCATTCTCTTACTCGAAGATCGCTCGTCTCAAGCTTTTCACCATGCCACTCACCGTCTTTTTGAATTCCTCCCCCACCTACAACACATTTATTCAACTTTTGTTTCCTTAAAAAAATTAAGAAATTGCAAGTTTACAGTAACTTAAATGCTCAACTTTGTGAAAAACTTGAAATCAGTACAATGAAAAAATATATATTATGTTGGTATTATTATAAAGGGGCTCTTCTATAATGGAGAAAGACATCTTAATCAATTAACAAAAATAGAGGTAAAGTGATAACATCTCTAATGAGCTGATTGTGAGCGATATTAAGTCAAAAGTCTTGGTTATGCAGTAGTGAGCTTCCTTATTGTCAATAGTTGGCCCCTGCTGCTGCATTTTCAGATGATCAGGTTTTTATCTTATTTATTATGGAATCTGAATTGCATTCACACCTGCAATTTGTTAGTCATGTAAGCTTCTCTTTTGCCTTTTCTTAGCACTTTATTTATATTTTCCGTTGTTACAAAGTAGCTTTGGCAGAAAAAATGCATGCCTATCAAGTAGGGCTATGTATCTATGTGTCATGCTCCTTATTATAAGAATTTGCTAACTAATTAATGCTAATATATAAAACATATAAATATAAATAACTACTTAAAGAAACATTTCTAGTTTTTTCAAGTTCTCCATTTGAAAAAATTGCCAATAACAATGCAGTTTCCAAAAAAAAAAAAAATGAAAACAAGGCATTTGAAATGCATCAACCATAAAATCTATCAAACAAATTAAAATTTACAAGCACTCAATCCTTCTTCCTGTCAAAACTTTACTCTCTTCAATTTATTGTTAGATGCTTTACTTGCAAGTTTTGCTTGACAAATAGCTTGGTCGTAATTGTTATTGTTGTGGTGAAAAATGTCAGCATTCACGACGATCACAATAACAGCCTACGAAAAGATGCATGTATATTGTTTGCCATGCTTTGCTCGCTTGCTTTATTGACTTTTTTGAGATGTTGTAACATCATATCTGGCAGTATCGATATGTACTGCTTTGGTAAGATGCATGTTTAAAGCATGACTAGGGACTGTTTGGATAGAAACAAAACTATAGTTTTAAAAGTTTTTTTATAGTATACGAAGTGAATATATAGAGGAGTTTACTTTGATTGGTGGAAAAGTGTTTCTAAAAAATGTTTTTGAGGTGTTCCGAACAACTCTTATAATAGCATTCTTCTAAAAAATTGAAACTGATATAACAAGGGAGCTTCGCCGATTCACCTCGTGACTGAATTTTACACTCATATATGCGATAATCATCATGAAGCTAAGACTCCATAATCTTTTTTTTTCCTTAAAAAAAGGGAATTTTAACTTACTTAACGCAATTGATAAAAAAAAATCCTTAGAAAAAAATGACATAAAAAAAGGAACCTGTTTGCATCGAAAACATTTTTTGCCTTTGTAAAACCAAACCCTACTTGAATAGGGGTCAGGAAAAATCATTTATTAGGGAACGAAAAAATGTCATTTAATGAAATTTGTGTAGAAAAATATTACTAGTACTATAAAAGAATTTCGAACAAGGTAGAATTAGTTCGCATTAGATTGGATACCTATCAAGTGGGGCTATGTGTCACTTTCATATGTGCCTATATACGAATAGTGAGAGAATAAAAATTAATATGATATTGAAATTTAAGTAATCACTTCAACCATTCTAAAAAAAAAAAAACAAACGAAAATTATCGTCAAAAATCGAAGCGGAAACAAAAAGGGCAGGAAGCCGAGGAGATAAAATCCTGAAACATCGTGCTATTGTTTTCCTCAGCTTCCCAAAACAAATTATTCGGTGCTTAAATCTTGCCTATCTATGCGCATTCAGAATCGTTGCGCTTCTCATTACTCGTCAATCCTCAACGGCTTTCCAAAACAGAACACTCAAAAAATTCGTATCAAACTCAAATTTTTATCATTTCATTATCTTCATGTGATTGTGGAATACAACTGCGGATTCTTATTCTGCTGTGTAGCACAGGCCCTGCAAAAGTGCGTAGGAAAGAATGCGTCCAGTTTACTAAGCTTTTTCTTTTTCTGCCTACTCACTGCACTTGGAGCTTTGTGTTTGTGGTATTATTATGCCATGTCCATTATCTTTTTACCAGTTTGCCTATCTTGAGATCCTGATCGTCCTCGCTTCTTAGGCATTACAAATTTCTTCTTCTTTTGAAGGTGCGGACCGATAATTAGATTTTATATGTTCCATCTCATGCTGTAGTACTTCTTTTAAATCAAGCTTGTTAAGGTTATCTAATTACTGTGCAATTCATTCTCTACCAAAAGAATACTAATCGTAGACTTAATCAGTGATTTAGATCAGGGCCTTCAAGAAGAGGTGCAACATTAGATGCTGTAGTTTTCAACTTGTTTGTTAGTACGAACCCTAAACTTTAAGCTCTTATAAATAGGATAAGGGGGAGTAGTGCACACATGTGAGAAAAACATACTTCAACCATTCTTAACTTCTAAAAGTCTATTGTCATCCGCTAACATACACAAAATAGTAAATATTCAAAATTCAATAATATGTAAGTAATTAATTAATGCTAACATATAAAACATATAAATAAAAATAAATACTGAAAGAAATATTTCTAGTTTTTTTCAAGGAAGTTCACCACTTGATGGAATTGCCAAGCGACATATAGGGCAATTATTCTTCTTCAACAACCAGTTAACAATGCAATTTCCATGAAAAAAATGGGAACAAGGCATTTGAACTGCATCAATCCTGAAATCTTCTAAACAAATTGGACAAGCATCCAACCCTTCTTCTTGTTGAAGCTTCACTCCCTTCAATTTATTGTTGGATGCTTCAGTTGCAAGCTTTGCCAAGCAAAGCTGATCTTTCATAGATATTTCTGTAGCTTGATCGTAGTTGTCATTGTTGTGGTAAAAAATGTCAGCATTCACCATCACAATCATAAACATCATACGAAAACTTGGGTGTGTGTTGTTTGCCATGTTTTCTACGAAATTTAAAATCTGTTGTGCCATAGATTTCTGATTTTTTTCAGGAACATTAAGAATAGAAAGAATGTAATTTGTGGCTTGCTTTATTGACTTGATTGAGATGTTGAAAAAATCATATCTAGCAGCATGGGTATGTGCTGCACTAGTAAGATGCATGTTTGAAGCATGGCTGTAATAGCGTTCTTCTAAAAAAGTTCTGATATTGAAGCATCTACCAGAGGGAGGAAGTGCTGGATTCCCATCTAAAAAATCGAACTTGATATAATAAGGAGCTTCGCCCCATGAATGGATTTTACACTCATATATGCGTGAGTCGTCAAGAAGATGTGACTCCATAGTCTTTTTTCCCTTAAAAAAAAAAAAGCAATTTGATCAGTTATTCTGGGGAAAGGTTGAAAAATCCATATATCATCATTGTGAAAAGCTAACGATATTAAAGTTGCTTGGGTTTCTAATTACAGATAAAGGGAAGGTAATTATCATCTGACTACACAAATGTTAGAAGATAATTAAGGAATTTACTATATATATATATGTATATATGGACACACTCACACACACACACACACACATATGGTGCATAAAGAATAAACAACAAAGCAAGGCACCATACCATGAATCACGGCGTTAGTATAAATTAAATACCATAAAATACGGCACTTTGAATCTCTCCAAGTTATTCAGTTAAGAAAATATTATCTCTAGACTTCGTTCTTCTTTATTTAGATCTTTCTGAGATCTGGTATATAAGCCTACGATGAGACGTGCAATGAGAACTTAGGTAATGTTTGTTATGAAATATTGAAAATGAAGGATATGGATTGGGATTGGGATTGGAATTAAGAAAATCTATTAAAAAGATATTTAACATGAGAGATTGCTTGTTACGTAGAATTAAACAAATACATAGGTCTGAGATTGACGAATACCATAAGGGAAAGTGGTATTCCCCAATTCTACTTTTATGAGTTTGCATAATCCCATATAACGAGTAATTACTCATGTTAAAGACTTTTTTAATAATTTTTTTTCAATTGCAATGATAATTCTTGTCCCTGATTCTCAATGATTTGTATCAAGCAGCATTTTAGGATCAAGTAATTAATTCATTATATGTAGTACAATTCAAGTATATAAAATTGATTAGCCGCATGGTGAAAGAGATAAACTAAATGTAACACATAAAGTAATTTATCTGTCAATCCACCCATAACACTGACAGGGAATATTCAATCCAGATAATGACAAGAAGTTCATCTTGTATAGAATCAGTAGAAAAGGAAAAGAAACAAAATGATGCCATTAAACGGGAAGAGAAGAGAGTCGCCGGACGAGAAAGAGAGACTGACCTGATATATGGTGCTGCACACAAAACGGGAAAGGAGGGGATCGAAGTCGAACGGATAGGTTCAATTCATTCAAGAACCAAGAGATAACAAAGATATTGCAGAATATTAAAGATAAATAACCCTTGTTCTCTGGTCTTTGTTCAAATTCTTAATGGGCCATAATCCTAGATATTAGATCAAATCTTAACTATTTCTTATCCCGTATATCTTTTCTGGCCCTTTTCATATATATGTCAGTAAAAAAATAATATTGATTAATATTTTATAAGGAAATAAATATTATTTATATCAATTATGTATATGAAGTTAAACGTGGAGAACAAAAGAAAGATATGACGCGATTTTTACCTTTTATATAATGGCTGAATTAAATTAGTTTTATAACCGATAATTTACAGATCTTGGGATCGGATATATTGAAACGAAATGCCAGCTAACCGTTAATGATATAAAATTTTCATTTAAATTGTAATCTGACTAGAAATTAACATCTCTTATTTATCTAATCATATGAAATTTTCATTACTAGCCTAGAATTTTTTTTTTATCAGCGCTTCGAATATTTTTTTAATTTCACGTGGTTAAAAGCTTTTAATCTTCTTTCTTTAATTATCTTTTTTTTACTCCTAGTAAGAATTAAACATATTAAATTAAAACCTATTACACATATGAAAATTATTTTCGTTAAAATTTTTTACTTCATATATTAAAAGTTATTAGCCTTTTTCGTTAATTCATAAGCGGCTTTAAAACTTTTAAATTTCTTTCCTTAATGGGCTAAAGTGCAAATTTGCTTCGATCCTATTTCGTAGGTGCAAATTTATGTCCCCTATTTTTAGTGATGCAATTTTGTCGCCAATCTTTTTTTGAGTACAGTTTTATCCGTAATTTTTTTTATGTGACTATATCCCTGGTCTTTGGGAGTGCCAAAAAAATAATAAGAGGTAAAATTACACCATTAAAAAAATTGGGATAAATTTGTACATGAGAAATATGATGAGGAACAAATTTACACATTAACCCTTCTTTAGTTCCTAATTTTTTATTGGAAAAAATTAGTCTATTAGTATTCATATTTTCATCAAATTTTGAATCAGGTCTTTATAATTTTTTTCTTTTTTATTTCATCCTTAATGTTTATTCAATTAGGGGTGTTGGTACTTCTGTGAAATCAACTTGCAAACACTGTTAATATGAGTTAAGGGGGATGAAGTGGCTTGAATAAAATCTGACTAAAAACACATGCGAAGCCGACAGGGTGTGTTTTGCAGGCCAGTTCAAAGCAATGGAACTGCTAGAACTCATTGACATAGCAGAATTCGCCACAGTTAGAACTCAGGCCTTTTAACCTAGTCAATTTCACAAAGTCTTCATTTTGAACAATTTAACACTCGAAAAACGAAAGCTAATGACCCACATCTTTGCGCTTTTCCTTCTTTATTTGCAACCAGGTTCATTGACATAAGCCCACACTAACTTGCTTCATCCCAAAGCCGTTTCTCACTCCTTAATGACTCCAAATCTCTAAATACACACATTGAGTTCAACATATACCCTTCCTCAGTGCCAAAAAAAAAAAAACGCTCTGCCTCTGCGTTTGATTTATATATATGATCTTTTGGAAACTCACAATAGTTTGTTCCTGGAACTCTGTGGAGAAGCAGAGGAAGATGAACAATGGGTACTTATGTGTCGTTCACTTTTTATGTATATCTCAGGATGGGGGTTGTACATTATACACGCACATGCTTCTTGGCTCTCATGAATGAATGAATATATAGTAAAATTGTAATGGAAAAGCAACTGCAGAAATAATCTTGAAAATCATGATAGAGTAACTCTTGAGAACTCCAGTTTTTAAGGGGTCAAGTTAGTAAATATGGCATTCACACATAAGATAGGCTTGTCTTCTGCAACTGAACAAATGCTTCCCAAAAGGTTACTCTGTTTTTTGAAGCAGAAAACAGGATAGTGAGTGGCCCTGTAAGAGACTTTCTGAAATCAATTGGCCCCGAAACTGAACCGCAGCGCATAACCCATTGGCATTGTGGGAGGGAAGGCAGACGAAGATCACGCGAGGGTGCTTAATCAGATTTTATTCAGGCCACTTCTTCCTTGTTAACTCAAATTAACGGCGCTTGCAAGTTTATTTGACAGAAGGACCAACACCACTAACGAAATAAACGTTAAGAATGAAATTTAAAAAAAAATTATAAAGACGTGATTCAAAATTTGATAAAATTATAAGGACAAGCAAATTATTTTTTTATTTATTCTTATCTTAACAATATGGGGTGCGGACTTCATAACTCCCTCTATAGTTTTTAATTCTTCTTTTTCCAGTTCATTTTCCCCGTCTCACTATAAATGGAATGGCTCTTAGTTATGCTAAGTCCCGTTTTGACTCTTAAAATATTTTTTTTAAGATGCTGTGAAATAGTAAATATAAGCATTTCTTTCAATAAAAATTTGAATATTAATTTACTACGTTACGAAGAACTAATAATTGTCGCTAGATTTAGTTATAGTATTTGACTTTAAATGGCAAGTAAAACTCAACATTAACTTTAAGTTATGTTTGTTATTAGTAAATGACTTTTTCTTTCAAAAGCAGATTAGGCTCAAAGGCTCAAAGCCAAAGTTTGTTGCTTTTACCAGCATCTGCACTGCGTTGTGATGATTTTTTTTTTTTTTCAACGAACCAGATTCATCCTTATTCCTCTTGCTAAGAATCACAAAATCATCTATTCTCTTTTCCATTGTTTTTATATTTCTTATTGTCTTGTTTCAAGCTTATGGGTTTATTGTGCATGTTTCTCTTGTATATGCTTGTATTGTACTAGAAGGCCTTCCTATGGTTTCATTAATGGCCACTACAGAAACAGAGAAACTTGAGAAGCAAGATCAAGAAAAGCAACTGATGAATACTATGTGCTTCCGAATGCTCTAAAAGGAATGTGGTAAAAACAAAAGATTGAAAAATTTTCCATCTTTATTTGCTTGATATAGAAATATTGATATATTTGGCAATTACATCAAGTAATGACTGTGAAATATAATATCAAATCGAAACTTGAATGTTTATCAGATTCAGAACACCACCAACTGATATGTTGTATATTCTGTCGACTTCCCATATTGAACCTATAATCGCTTCCTTCTCTTCTTCAAATAGCTTCTTCCATTTGAATAGTTCCATTGCTAAACAAACACCTTAGAGAAATCTCATAAGCAGAGAATATAGCTCCATTCACCACAAATGCTCTTGCAACCGCAGTTCCTAAACCTCGCCATAACACAGTGGACCCTTCTTCTTTCACACTCTTTCTGAGACAATCAAAAATGCCTCGGTACTTCACTGAAGATGGGGTTTGAGCTTGAAGTCTCGTCTTTATAACATCCAAAGGATAGCAACAAACCCAGCTCGCTACTCCAGCTAGACCTCCTGCCATTAACATGGTGTTCAAGCTTTCTTGGCCACTTTTTCTGCAACCTGGGTGGAGTTGTTCTCTCATGTACTCGTAGGTCCAGAAGTAGAAGCCATGGGAAGGGGCGTCTCTGAGCACAGTGATGCCCAGACCTCTGTAAATTCCCTTCAGACCCTCTTTCTTCCATATGGTCTTGGCTACTTGTGAGGGACCTTTGTGAGATTCTGTCACGTTGCCTGTGTTTTGGAGCTGAAGTCGAATCTTGACCAGTTCTACCGGTGAAAGGAGGAGACTCTGTACGGCTCCGGTGGTGAATCCTCCGAGAGCCACGCCCTTGTACGACGGAGGGTCGGTGGCTGACAATGATGTGTCACATGCTCTTGAGAAAACTGCGTAGATTTGAAATACCATGGCATTCTGCAACAATAAAAGCTAGAAATAGTCAACATAAAGTACTCAAACTTTCAAAATTTCAAACAAAGATAAAAATTTTTTATCCCTTTCTGAGACCCTAAATAACCTATGGCCTTGTTATAGGACATGTGGCCCTAAGGCTAAG